CCATTTCGTTTCATGAATGATTTGGAATAAGATTTACTCCACTTAAATTGACGAGTGAGTTAGTGATAAGGTAAGATTTGTTTTAAGCACATTCAACACAGATTTGATCTCATTTGGAATGATGGCATTTTGCAGAAAAGTAATAAAGATGAATACTGTCAATTTGAGCTGAATTGTGTCGACAACTGGAAATCATTGATCACAAAGAGCGGTCAAATTTGGATGCTACGCATGAATTATGAGCTTCACTGAATGCGAGATGAAGTATATTAGATACATTGCGTATCGCATAAGGTATGAAACATTTTGCTTGAGTTAAGAAGTACCTCAAGACGAGATGCTATCTTCGATGGGCCAAAGCAGGATATGTTATGTTTGCTCAAATCGTCAACGATACCACCGTAAAGAAGATCTTCAGGTCCAACCACAACCAGATTTATTGATTCGTTTTTGCAAAACGATAAGATTTCATGCACATTGTTTGATGAGATACCTGTCATGCAACAACATCTACTTCGATGCACGTATCACATTAAGCAATTAAATTCAATTTAATGATGAATTTATTGCAATTTGCGGTCAGTTTGATAGTATCAAGCACCACTGAAGATTCCATTTAATGATACTGAATAATGTTTCAGTGGAATGAGAATGATAAACGATGACATGCATTCTCACACAATGTTTGAGACAATCAAAATGTGATATTCACCTTTCGGTTTTTGGAACGGAGCTCCATTTCCAGGATACACGTAAACAGTAGCGACCTGATTACTTCGTTTCAGTTTCCACGCGATTGCATGTTCTCTAGCGCCACTACCCAGCACAAGCACATTGGCCATTTGAATTACTCTGATCAACTGAATTCAACAAATAAAATTTAAGTTTCAATTATAAAGGCTTAACATAGAAAGTAGCTGTTGATCCCATATATCTTCTTGTCAGTGTGTATGATTAGTGTGGTGCGGGGAGGGAGAAAAAGTCGGGGACGGGGAAAATCGGGGACGAAATTTTGCAGTCGGGGACCCTGAAAATGCGGTCGGCCCAAAAACTGTCGGCAATAGGGACTCGGGGACGGGGTCCCCGAAATTCCCCGATCCCCGCACCACACCATGTATAACTATGTAATTAAGAAAACACGCACGCATTATTCAATGAACGTCATAAAGACCGTAAATTGATTCTCTGAAATGAAACAAAAGAATATGAAACACAACAACAAACGGTGGATATACACACTCAGTGACAAGAAGATATATGGGATGAAACATTCCTGCAGAGCAACTTAGGTCATTAGCATTTGATTAGATAAGAACTTTTGTCTCAGTTGATAGCTTGAGGGAAGCAATCTTTTCTTCAGCACAACAACTCTCTTCTAGATCATTCGGTTGAAAAACATGTGAATATGAATTTATGATCAATCAAGTTGATTATTTTGATCGATTATAGAAGTTGTGCGTGATTTAATACGAAGATTCCTTTTTGTCGTTGCTTTTGCACATAACAGTGTCCGGAACTTAAGAACGCACTTCAGTTTTGTCGTTGTTTGTAGCCAGTGAATAAGAAAAACCCAGATTTAATTGATCATAAGGAGCTGTCAATACTATCCAAAAGGCACCCTCAAAAATTGTGAAGTAATAGATCAGAACTGCCTTGAGTTAGTTAACGAAGTCTGTTGATGTTGAATTAGAGTTTATTCTCACCGATTGGCAGAAAAAAAATGTATCGAACAAATGTTGATTGGAAATAATTCCAAAGGGAATAGGCTTTAATAAAATAAATTTGAGGTGAAAAACAAAAATAGGAAACGACGGGTAAAATGCTAAAAGTTGAAGTAAACTTTTAAAGTGTTTCGTAGGCAAAACGTGTATCGATAATGTTTTGAATAGCCATAGATCGCAATGGATGATTGCTGATAGATTATCGACAGTGAAATGAAATTGGAAAAACTGGTTGTTA